ACAATGCGCAAGGGCCATCACGACTTCCGTAGGCCGGCAGACACGTTCCCTCCATCCCAACTTTGCAGGACTAATCACGCCCACGGACATTGCGTAGAGGGGAACATCACACACAAAATCGATATCGCCCCGAAGTTTGGCCGGCGCCGGAGTCCCTGGCAACCGTCTGCCCTCCCCACCCTCGGCGGCCCGTGCCCCGGGTCTCGCCGTCTCTTCCACACACGTCCGGGATGGCGTCACGCCCCCGTCACGCACCGCCGGGGACACGGCCCTCGGCCACCTCGTTCCCCACCCACCTGACTTCAGCAGGATGGCGAAGTCGCCGACCTCGTGAGGTATCTCGTGGATCAGGATGGCGAAGGTGGTCAGCAAGCCTATGCGCGTGCTGGCCAGGAAGCTGCCGCCGATGGCCAGTCCGTGCGTGAAGTTGTCCACGCTGTTGGCTAGCAGGTTCAGGTAGCCTGCCACCTGACGTCATGGGTCAGGTCAGGTCAGAACAGGTCAGACGCAGGCCAGACACAGGTCAAGCCTGACCGCAGTGCATGTCTTAAGGAATGGATCACGACTGAACTTTGGAGACTTAGAAGTGGAACGCACATGTCACGCTTCTATCAACCCGCTGTCAGTGATAGCCGCCAGTATCAACTAACACCATAGCTGTCAGCGATAAATGGACACACAGTGTTGTGCCGTGTATACGGACCAAGCTTGTGAACACAAATGGTGAGGTTTCAAAGATAGAAGATCGCTACGCAACACGCTGACCACGGCCGTGGGTTCGCATCTGCTGTTGGTACGCTACCATCTGCCATTTACATTAGCCACGATGGAAGCCATTTAGCGTGCCGCCTATTGGCATCGTGCAAAATGCAAGGAATGTTGTCACATCACATGAAACCTGGTCACATGACGTCACGCCACATTTCACGCGCTCTGATGCGCCAAACCCGATCCGCCCTCCCGCGCATGCCCGTCCCGACCGGTGACGCTGCGGCGGCTCACCTGCCTGACCGGCGGCCGGTCGACTGGCGGCGGCGGCGGCGGCACGCCCTTGGCACTGCCGTTAGTGGCGCTGTGGTCGCCGGCCGCCAGGTGGCGTCTGCGCAGGTCGGCGCCGCCGGCCGCCGGCTGCGGCGCCGCGGCGGCCTGCTCCCGCGGCTCCGGCGTCGGCTCCTCTTGCAGGCTCTGGTTGAACACCATCTCGAGCAGGACGAAGAAGAACACGCCGGCGATGACCCAGAGGCCGACTCGGATCTGCTCGGCCTCGCCTGCGACGCCGGCCGAGTGTGAGGCGGCGCGGGGACGCGTGGTGGCAGCGAGAGGGCCGAGCCTCCGGCCTGTCCTCCGGTGCCGCGGGGGACCAGAGGACAGGCCTCTGAAGACCTCTGTGCGGAGCAGCTCCCCTGTGCGGAGCCGCAACCCGCACCGTGACACCGCGCGGCGCTTTTGAAACGTCCCATTTGCCCACTCTGACATGCCATGTTCGAAGATAACTTTAGTGCGTGCTGTGTCATTTGAGGTGGGTCACGCCACAGCTTAATCGCTCACAAGGCCAGGCCGCCGTACTGGCATGGCCTACCGTCTTGCTTCACAGCCATTTGTCTCGCTCCCTGGCCCTGCATAAAGTTCACGCAGGGAGATGATCTGGCTAAGATCACGTGAACCGAGCGCAGCCAGGCCTAACGGGAACGCAGTACAGCTATCCAAGCAGATACTAGGTGTGGAACCCTACATGTACTGATATCTCTCAGCCCCATGTGACGGGTGAACAGCTGTGAATAGCATTGCACAACCTATGAATGATACTTGTTACGATAGATTGCACGCATCGGTGCGCGCGTACTTGAACGACGCGTACGTTAATGTTAGAACACGCAAGCAGCTTTCGCCAAGCGTCTCCTATGTTTTAGGCGTCTCTGTATGCGGAAGGTGTCACCACCGACAGAAAGGTAATTGGATCTAGTTTATCTACATTTTGTTTTGCTTTGGGCAACGTTGCAATGAAACACGCCAGGAAATCTGTAAATATTGGGTGGAGGTAGAACCAGGCAGTGTTCATCCCCCCCGTTGAGTAAGTAACGTATGGCAGTAACTGAGTCTCTCGTCGCTAGCCTCACATCAGGAAGTCGAATGTAACAAAAGCACGCACGCCTGATGAATCATGCTGCGATTCAATGTTTACAATCTGCGCAGAATTTCGTGGTACACTGTGCCTCTCAGCCCCCCCCCCCCCGTTCCCACAACCCGTCTCACTGGTGATTTAAACCGGTAAACCCCGACCGCTAATCCGTAGGTACTGGTCAGAAATTCCACCCACCTCAGAAAGAACGCCCTCTGTCGATAACATGTTTGCAAGACGAGCAAGACAGGGCTGGAGGAGCGGAGAATGAGCTCAGACATCACTTTCAGGGCCTGTCACGTTATGTCATTGGAGCTTTACGATGCACTCAGCTGCTGAGGCTATATGGCGTTGCCTGCTTCTCACCCTGGCAGGAAGGGCGGGCCCACGGGGAATCCAACCCCGTACCTCTGGTTTCCCAGACGCGCAATGATTAACGCAGACGCGTTAACCACTGCACTACCGGCACCCCACCTTCAGGGCCAACACAGCCTGAACTGACTTTGGTCGTGTTATAAGTGCAAACTATAAGCAAAACACGCCTGACCCGTCATAGGGCGCGCACTTGATCCACCCTAAACCAACACGTGACATTCAACACATCCACGGAGATGTCGAGCAATGACTGATACATGCTCATGTCAACCGGCAGCCGAACTGAAACATTTGCATGTAGTCTGAATCAGTAGCGACATGACCTCTGGCCTTTAACTGTGTTCGATGTGTGGCTTCGACCCTTACTGTGCGCGTGCCGCATGGCTTCCGGCAGCAGGTGGAGGAAGACATCACCCACCAGCCCGCCAGTTGCGAAGCTAAGCAGCAGCCGCAGCCGCCTCTCGCCATCTGTGCACACACGCGGTCACGGTCAAACACGATGTCACACACGAGGTCACACACGCGGTCACACGCGAGGTCACATATGAGGTCACACGCGAGGTCACAGTCACACACGAGGTCACACACGAGGTCACATATGAGGTCACACACGAGGTCACATATGAGGTCACACACGAGGTCACACGAGATCACACATGAGGTCACACACGACCGCGGCGGGCGGCACCGGAGCGTGCCCCCTGGTAGCGTGCACGATCACGGCGGACGGCACAGGGCCGTGCCCCCGACCCGGCCGACGCCGGAGCGGGCGTTGTTCACCGGTCGCACAGCAGCCCCCCCCCCCCCCGCTCTCTGCGGTCGGACAGGCGGCGGCGGTGCAGATTGGGGACCTCCCGTCCGGCTTTTTATGACGCGCGATTGGGCGGATACATCACTCTGTCGCTGTTGCGCACCGAGCACAGGGCCGTATCCCGCCGGACAAAATGCCCGTCTCTTGTGTACCGAGCACAGGTCCGTATCCCGCCGGACAGAATGCCCGTCTCTTGTGTACCGAGCACAGGTCCGTATCCCGCCGGACAGAATGCCCGTCTCTTGTGTACCGAGCACAGGGCCGTATCCCGCCGGACAGAATGCCCGTCTGTTGTGTACCGGGCACAGGTCCGTATCTTGTCGGACAGAAGGCCCCCCCATCTTTCGAGAATGTGTAACATTTACCCTATGACCCTACCCTACGTAAACCAATAATCTACATCCCCTTATTCCATAACCCCATAAACCCCATTAACTCTATCTCTATGTCGATACGCGGAAAGAATCTACTTTAAACCTAGAATCCCCCGCATTATCCAAGACTTTCCTACATCATTGACGACGGAGCACGCCGATCAAAACTTCTGATATGCCGTGAAGCTAATAATAATGTCCTTCGCTTCGATATCATTACGAAGCGGCTGCATGTTGTAGTGTGTAATGCGATGATGGTATGGTATTTTGGTCGAAATGGCTGTAGACGATGACCGAGATCTAGGCTGACGCAAGTACTTCACAACCGCAGTGCGGTGGCTGGACGTTTTAATCCCGCGCGTGAAGAGCTCACCAACAAGACATCTAACTCATCGACCTGCCTGCCAGCGCAGCTTCGCCTTTCCAAACGTCCGTCCGTGTCCCGTGCATTGCCCACGTCCAAACGGCCGCTGGTGTACCTGAGCGTCGTGAACTTCTCCCCGTCCGCCCGCGCGCCGTGAATCGCTCCCGTCCACGCGCAGCCCCTGCGTCGTGACCAGCCAAACGTTCACTCCGCACGCTTCGAGCTGGCCTCGTCACGGCTTCATGACGCGCGTCATGTATGTCACGCGTGTCACGCTTCATGTCACGATATCAGATCACGCGTGGAACTGTTGCCGTGCGTCGCGGGAGCTTTCAAAAGGCATACAGTGAACAACGTAAACCCCTCAACACTTCAACGTTTGCAGCAGTTTTTAGGCAAACGTTTTTTTCGCTCACGTTTTAGGCGAATACGCTCTGCAGTAATAATGCTCGCATGTCATGAAATGTACAATGTTCGTTGCCGTGTCAGACCCAAAAGTCATGTTTGTATGCTTTTAACTTCAACCAGATATAATTATTCTAGACTTTGTTCTGCATTTTCATGTTCTATGGCTTTTATTACATGGGTATTGCGCTATATTTTTAAGTTCCGTACTTTGGTATATTGAGGTTATATGTGCCACCCATGTCTTTATTTTATCTTATGTCGTTTTCAGCTCCTTCTACCAATCCTTTTTATATCCTTAATTACACATATCAATTGTATGCGACCCTGCAACTTCGGGATCTTCTCATCCATGCACGAATTAAACGTTAATATCAGAGCGACTACCATAATGGTAAGCATATCCGACGCACGTTAATTTGTGACTGAAGCGAATACAAGAAGCACAAATTACGTCAAACGAGCGTCACTATCTTTCGAGCACCAACTTGGGATCTAGCGTCGTAACGAACGTTTTGCCTTTCGATGTCGTGCATTATTTTTGTGCCTTTGTTGTCAGTTTATGGTTTCAACGCCCCAACACAAATTTCCAGCGTGGAACGTAGGAATTTGGACGCATGGAAAATGCAAGGGTGTAAGTTACATTGGCGTCAATTCTCCTTTCACTGAATATTTACTGATAAGTCGCACGCCTCCTTCAGTTCTGAATATGAATCAGTCCAAATCAGCCCATGCCATCCAATTTGAATATAAAACGGGGGCGCGGAAGGACTGTGAGGACGACAGGCAATTTATAAAAGTTTTGCAAGTGTTTTGCAGGCGGAGACAGGTGAGTGTAGCTACATTACACGTGTGAATAAAGGTGTGCACGAGATCGCCAAGTTAGCCTCTTTAAAGCATACTGAAGTGCAGCTCCCGGTAAATACCTCCGCACAAGCCACGACTGCTGCGCGCGCAGAAACGCGGCCTGTTTCGCGTCGGGCCGGGTCGGGCGTGCGCCGCTGGCAGCGTGCCAGCGGACCGTCGGGCCGCGCAGGACGGTGACCGGCTGACGCTGCGGGGCTGGCAGGACGCCCTGCTCCGCCCCGCTCCCCCGCTCTCACCCCGCACGGCCGGTCGGGTCGCACCAGCTGGGCCACCGGGACTAGTCGAGACCCGTCAAGGCTGTCTAACCATCGATGACTATCCCCACAACCGGATCGTCGACAAATCCTCTTAAGTAAATGTGGGAAGAAACTGCGCACTTACCATCCTGGGTTATATTTGAGTTGTAGAGATCACGACAGTCCGTGCAAACATGCTCACTGACGGTATTAATGAAGCTTTTTCCTTCTTTACATCCCACTGAACGCCCCAGCCGATCTAAGATTACGCCGAGGCGGAGGGCCACTGTACTTCCCGGGCAGGCCCAACAGCAGGATCAGTACCTGCAAGGTTAACCACATGCAGCCCCTGTCGTATTTCAGTCACTTTCTTAAATTGCATTCACTGGACCTTGAATCCTGGAACACGGCAGAGCGAGATGCGTCCATTTTGTAGCGTCACTGTGTGCACTTAAGACACGCTGAGCGCGTTCTCGTCTTGTTTTGTGGTTCTGTTCAACGTTGCGTTGTCAGCCAGCAATGTCCGCTCCCCGTGGAAGGAAAATCCGCGTAGGTCCTAAGGCATGGTCTATGACCACCACGGTCCCCTGACCCAGCGGCGCTCTTGCTAGTGCTCCGCGTGGTTCGGCCGCAGCTGTACAAAGCTGACTGTTCACTGTCCCCCGCCTAGTGGCATCACCGACCCCACACGCTCTGCACGGTCGAGTTCTCAGGCCGCGGTCCGGCCAAACCCCCCGATGCCCCCCCCCCCCCCCTGCCCCGTCTCCGGTCGGTCCGCCCACCGCCGGCGCGCGTCAGCTGAGCGGCGCGGGCCGGCGGCGGAGGCGGTATCGCAGCGGTGCCTGGTGCACCGACGCGCCGTCCCTCCTCCTGCGGCCACTATCGCCGCCGGCCAGCCGACGCCCGCGGTGCAGGGGGGAGGGGTGACAGCGCGGTCGCCGCTGCCCCCGGGCCGCGGAAAGGTCGCCGCCGCCCGCCCCGGCACGTCCATAGCCGTGTCGGCTGTCGGCAGCGAGCTCAGTGTGTTGGTGACCACGGGCCCGTGTCACCGTATGAATGGGATCGCACCAGTCCATGGAAGAGCAGTCCATTCAGATTATGATTGCAGTGCTTTAATGTGTCACGACTGGCAGAAACATGCCTCCGCGCAGGGAACATGTTAGCCGTATGTTATGCCACGCGAGCAGTGGACCAGATCGCCTACAACGGTTTCACGACATCAGTTAACTTTAGAAGCTAATTCGACGTTAAAAGGTTACCAAAAATTGAAATGAACAGCACCATGGAACGCACAGGTTATGCTTGCATATACCAAATTGCAAGTATAGATGAAACTTAAAGGTAAATCAATATAAATGAGCTAAGCTCGAATTATTTGCTGTTAATTCAAGCTTCTAAAAATGCGTATATCAAACAGCGCAAAGTCTTCTTAGCTTGCAAAAGTTGGATCATGTGACGGAGCTGTTTGAGGACTTCGACTGCCTCACCGCTAGAGGGCTGGTGCGCCATCACGCCCTTACGTTGGCGCACAAGGCGCTTCGCCTCAGCGCGTCCCAGGAACTCCCCGCGGGTTTTTACAGATGTCCGAGACTCGCAAGCGAGGCACGAGACAGGATGGCAACCTCTATGTGACGACATCGCGACCGAGATGGGAGAGCAGCGGTTCCATTGCCGTGCGGCCGTGCTGTACAGTGGGCTGCCATTGGAGCTGAGGCAGCTCCCGGTCCCAGACTCCCATTGCCGACGGCCGCGCTGTACAGTGGGCTGCCACCGGAGATGAGGCAGCTCCAGGTCCCAGACTTCCATCGCCGGACGGCCGCGCTGTACAGTGGGCTGCCACCGGAACTGAGGCAGCTCCCGGTCCCAGACTCCCATTGCCGACGGCCGTGCTGTACAGTGGGCTGCTACAGGAGCTGAGGCAGCTCCAGGCCCCAGACTCCCATTGCCGACGGCCGTGCTGTACAATGGGCTGCGCAGAAATCAGCGTAGGAGATGTTGGGGCTTACTGACCAGGTTGTCGACTGCGCCGTCAAACCTCAGGAATAAGTCTGACTGTCACGGCAGTGCGGGACATTGCAACGCTTTCCGCCATTTGTAGTGCTTCGGGCACAAATGTACGTCTAATGGCCGATAATTGGAGGTCTGAGCACTATTCTGATGTCAGGCAATCGAAACACGGTTGGGTTTATCGACCCGAGATTACGCTGAGCCTTATGGTCATTGATTAAAGCTGACGTGGCCGAGTGTCGGCCAACGTGGCCGTTAGTCGAACGCTGCAGGCTAAACCGCCGCCTCAAGTCGGCTGGTGGAAATGCTCGGTAATAACGGCGATTATGCAGGCTCCCACAACAGAGTGATGAAAGAGACATTTGCATTTGGCTCAGGGTCTTACCAGCTTCAACGTCATCACC